ACAGGTAGTCCCTGGGTTAAGAACACCTGGTTTATGGATGACCCATAGTTAAGAACAGAGCCTATAGTAGCAAAATTCAAGTTAAATACACAGTGATTCGAGTTAAATACACAATGGTTCAAGTTAATTACACAATACTACTTACACAGTTTTATACAATAATACTGTGCTGGCTTACATACAAATTCGACTTAAGGAAAGACCTTGGGAATGGTTCTTAAACTGGGGACTACCTGTAAATTATTGTCTCTGTTAATCTAAACCACATCCTGCTGCTGCTTTCCTCCAAAGTGCCATCATAAAAGATGGGTGCAGGAAGGAACATCTGATTAAGCCTAGACTGTAAAGCTAGAAAAATGGTTTGAAATTTTGGAAGGCAAAATGTGATAGACACAGTGCTGATAAATTCAGGGAGAGAATCACAGGATGAGTCAAGACTTGGGGGAAGTTAATTCTCATTTTCCTAAATCAGACCTTGACATGCTGCCTGTGTCCTCACCTCACTTAAAAAGTCCTTAGATTGGTTTCAAAGATCTCGCTATTTCTGTCGTTTCTTTCCTTTCCCAGATCTCCGGGGGTACAGCCCATGCCCACAGCCGCTGCCTCTTGTTAGTTCTAGTTCCACGGCTGCCTACTGTGAGCTCAACAAGAATACACGGCGGTGCCATCGCCAGCAGGCTCCGACATACAAGTTGTGCCGCATGTATCAGACATGCGACCATGCAGTATTGATTGCAGGTGTGGAGTGGCGCCTGGGGGCTACTAAGAGGTGCTAATTCCCATTTGGTAGTTCAAGGGGTGTGGAGGGATGAGTTTGAACCTACTGACCACTGCAGCAGGTGTTTTGGAGGAGGATGAATACAGGCAGGACTGTAGGATCCCTTGTTTCGTTTTGCTGCATGTGAGCTTAAAGTGCTTACCGTTGACAGTCATTCTCTTCCAGGTGGCTGGCAAGAGCAGGTCACCTATCCCCACCATGCCCAGAACCTGTTGCTCTTCTACCAGATGCTTCGACGAAATGGTTTCCGCCAAGAGCATATCAAGGCTTTCTTTGCCAATGAGGGACAGGCTTCAGGTATTAAGACAAGCGAGCTAGATGTCAACTGAAGGGATGAGGGGAGGGGGACAGTGAGAAAGGAGAGCTTCTCAGTGTTATTAGTGTTTGTGGTGTGTTCTGGAGATGGGCATCCCCTGTATCTCAAAGAAGTTGTATCTCCTTTCTCTTTCTCCTTTCTCCTTCTACTCTATCTCCCACTATTAATATATATAAATACACATACACACATACACACATTTACATATATATATACACTACACATACAGACACACACAACTTCCCACTCATGACCATCAGGATTCCAAGAAAAATTATGACCAGATGGCATGACTTTGAGAAGACAACCTAGTGGATCAATAGATCTTTTCCATAAAGGACGCATAAGTGACCCTGGAAAATGAGGGTCATAAACAGAATAGATAATGGGAGGGATTGGATGGGAAAAAACCAATTCAAGAAAAGTAATGTCAGCTGGCCCTTCCCTATCTTCTTTCTGCAGTGGAGATGGGAAATGTGCAACCAGCCACAGAGAAGTTGGCAATCCGGTCCCACTTGGCACTTATCTGCCGTAGCCTGCATTGTGCTGACACTCTGGTACTCTACCTCAATAGTCCAGCTTCCAGTGATGGCACCATGCTCTTGTGGGATGCTAACCATAATGGCATTGTGAGTAGGGTCTGGAGGGAAGTGAGTGGCGGGGTGGATCCAGGTTGAAAACAAAGAATGGCTGTCTAAGGCCACATAGGCCACAGGGTGGCTGGAAGTGATTCAGCCTGTCGTCTAGTTCTTCTGAGGAACGTTTTTTACTGCTGAGCCAAGCTCCTCTGTCTTTAAGTGCAGATTGGATCCACCTGATTAGCAATGAGGAAAGGATATTTGGTTCTGTCCTCTGTGCCCCTTCAGCTACCAGCCCTTTTCAGCTGAAATTTCACATAAGCAGCCAAAATGCTTTTGTCAAAAAGGGGGCTGTGGTAGGCTTCAGAGTAATGGTTCCAGGCATGGTGTTACTGAAGAGGGAAATCGGAAATATGGGTGCATTTCCCATTCCTACCCTGATGTGTGTAAATAAGCCATTCAGTGTCTGAACCAATACCCAATTGATAATCAGGCACAAATAAAACAACTGAAAGAAATCTTGGAAAGAGATAACAGACCTTTTTTTTTGGTGAAATTCTCTCCAGTCAATCAGTGGGTATCAGTAAACTCAACTGCTGCTACAGAAGGAGAGTGAAATGTGGGGTGGCTGTCAGAATGGGTTCTATAAGTAAGTCCTTATATAGGCCTCTGCTTGGTCATTTGCAAGCGATGAGGGTTTCATTGACTGGAAATGGACAGTGAAGTGAGTCAGACTTGTGGAAGGAGGAAGGGATCATCCTCACCTGTCCCAACATGTTCTGGGCAGCCCAACTGGAGGGAGAGGAGAAGCTGACAGACTTGCAGGTAGACTCAGCCCTCTCTTCTCATCTGTCCCCTTCAAAGGCCCGTCCAGCTCTTTCATCCTTGCCTGCAGGGAGAAAGGCAACAGCCCCTTTTGCAGAGCGTGCTGGCCCTGGCTTGCTCTTTCCAACTTAATCCAACTTCTTTTAATTCCAGGGTGGGGGAATTCCCTTGATCTCTGGACTGTAGAGTTCAGGTGGGGGAGCTGGGACAAAGGAGCAGGTGCTAATAAGCTGACCTTTCCCCCACAACAGGCTGATCCTAAAGAGCGGTATGCCATCTCAGAGCTCTTAGGAGACTTGGAAAGTTGCAATGCCCACCGGGTGCTGCTTTTCCTTGATCAGAGCTATCCAGGACCATTGGTAAAGAAGCTTCGGGCATCACAGCACCATCCCAATGTAGTGCTGGTACGTAGCACCACTGCCATCCGAAGTGGATCAGCTTTTGCTGAATTCTGGGCAGGACTGCAGCCTGACCAGTGTCTGCTTCAGCACACCTTGCCGGTAAGCGTTTAAGGACATTCATAGGGCGTAGGAATATAAGAGGATCCATCTTAAGTATTTTGCACCATCTGTTGTCTCTTTTACATGGGGGTATCAAAGATTTAAACAAGGGCTCTCTAATATGCAAAGCATCTGCTCTGACAAATTGTAGTCTCTTAAAAGATTCTCCATCAGTTCTAAACAAAATATAAAGTTGTCAAAAATAATACTGAAATCCCATATTAATGTTGGATTTTCAGATGATTTTACAACAGGGACTTCCCCAGGGATGACTTTCAGCAACTGGGACAGGATCTTTAACAGGATGGCTGACCTGTTTTTCTTCCAATCCCACAGTGGGGGAAGATGGGATCAGGAGTTCTGTCTTCAGGGCCAAAAATTGGCTATGTTGCACAATGAAAAGCAGTTGCCATTATACAGCAAATCCAGTGCACATTGCACTTTTTTGTATAGACAAGTCAATTTCTGATCATCTTGCAATCAGGTTGGTTTTCTCTTGTGAAGCAGTATGTGTTGTATGTATGGGTGGTGGGGAGGAATGCTGTCTCAGAAGTATTTAGATCATATAGTCAGAGGATGCAGGGGTAGACTTGAACAGCAAGATAATTTTGGCAAAATAGACATAGGCTATATTTGCATGGCACACTGAAGAAAAAACTAGCTAACTACATTTTAGCTTACTGTATTCTGCAAACCTGCCAGTGTTATGCAAACCCAGAAAACTGGGTACTTGAATAAACCTCTGAAAATGATTGTAATTAAGAGACTGCCATAGTTCATCTGGTTTAGAACATCTGCATAAAAAAGAAAAACCAAATGCTAAGTCTGCAGAAATATACAGCAAAGTAGGCTTTTGTTGTGCATAGCGGCTCATTTGGATGGAGAACTTTATTACATCTTGCTTTTACAAGTTTTACTGCTAAAATTTGAATGTTTCTAACTTGAAAAAGTATTTGAACCATTACTATTTAAATTCAGTGAATTACATTTAGACAAAGTTAGTTGCTGTACCTTCCATTGAAATCAGTGGTGGCTTAAGTCACAACTAACTTTTCTCATAGATATAAGTGGAATTTGTGCAATTAACCTTCAGCTTCCAAACAAGGAAATTTCCCTTGAAGTCTGCACAATTGAAAACAGATGAGAGTTGATGATATTCTGACTTTTACTGATTAGCCTTACAAGCTGATGATATGCAACATTGAAATCATGAATCTGAAACATCCTAATTATGTTGATTCTGAAGGATATGGTGCCCTAGGGCACTTCAGAGAAGCCCATTTCTCCTTTTTTTGCAGGTGGGTTCATGGTCTGCAGTCTTGGCCTCTGGTACTCCAGTCCAGCTGCTCAATGTCACATTAGCAGGAGCCCCATGCCATTCTGTGCCACCCCTAGGAGAGGAGGAACGCCAGCGTCGCTACCAAGGCTGCCAGAACCTTCCCACCATGTTGTGGTATCAGAGCAGGCACCAACAGGAACTACAGGCAGATGACTGATCATGGTGGGCACTGTCTTGGAGTTATCTACAAGACCTAGAGCCTTGTTCTATATCCAGAGGCTCCTTCCTCCAAGAAGCCTTTTGGCTTTGAGGGACCCAGATGGAATTAACACCAACAGCTACCCAATGGGTGGATGTGAGACTGTTGCTGAACGTTGCCATAGCAGGGAGAAACACTCCTGGTAATCTGCCTGCATTAGACTCTACAAAGCTATTCCACTTTCCAAGGCAAAAAGGAGAAGCCAGATGTACCCTTGCTGGATCTTGTATACTGTTAAACATATACACAGAGAGATGAGAAAATGCTAGACTACAGAGTGGGGGATGGGAGTGGAAGATTCCAGCCCTGGCCATAAGTCAGAATATGGCAAGGGGGAGCAAAAGATCTCTAGGGTAGCAACTAAGGCTAGGGCAGTGGGCAATGCCCAGTGGAGGAGGTACAAGTGTAAATGGGTAAAGTATCTACCCTAATGTACAGACTGTGCTGCTCCCCTGTGTATATGCTGCTCCCTTTTTATAGGAATCCCCCCCCCCCACATGCATATAGCAATTTCCCCCTCTTATTTCTCTGCATATAATCTCAAAGCATCCTGGTGAGACAGAAGTGGATGTGAAGAACAAGTTTTGAAATAATCAAGCTCTTGAATAAAGAACCACTGGTTCTTGATTTCCAACTGTGGCTGTTTCCTTGACATGGACACCTGTTGCAATTAGAAGCAATACAGGTATGAATGCCTATTTTTTGCTGCAAAGGTAATGATCAAAGAAGCAATAGCAAGTGACACATATCCATAGACTTCTGTGAAATTCCTAGCTGGAAGTGCATCAGAAGTAATTGTTGCTCAGCCATAGACTTAACATGGCCTTTTCACAAGTCAATTCCTTTCATTTCCCATAAAAAAAAATTAAGGGGATATAGAAAAATACAACACTTTCATGCCCTCTTTACACTAGCCAATAATCAAATCAAGTAAATGGCAACTGTGCACAACTAGCATGTATTTTATGTAGATCCGTAACTGATTCACAGTAGCCACAATATTCTCTCTTTGTTTAGCACAACTGCTGGTGGACTGATTTGTTGGATTCACCTAGGTCAGTGTTGCCCAAACTTGGCCCCTTTAAAATGAGTGGACTTCAATCCCCAGGGGGGGCTGGGGAATTCTGGGAGTTGAAGTCCACTCATCTTAAAGTGGCCAAGTTTGGACAACACTGGGCTAGGTACAGGAATATTACCATTGACTTGGAAGACACTAACTACCTTGCCAGCCTTTCTTCGGTTTCTTACTGCAATGGGTAGAGATTATAAACCCAATCCAACAGAAGAGGTGGATAAGACTGTTCTAACATAGACGTCATTGAGAGCTGGAGGTCCTTTTTTACTTCACATTATTCATGGTGCTTCTTGGTAGTTTGGACAGACAAGTGGGAGAAACATTCAATACCAGAAACACCCAACCATCAGTAGTTTAGTAAACCATCTTATTTTAAACTCCTGATTCACCAACATCTGGATAGTCTTACATGCTAGAGGAGAGATTGTCTGGGTAAGCTTGCAAAATAGTGGCAGGAGGTGAACAACTTTCCATCTCTTCATATGAACAGTATTATAGGTATTAACTGAAACTAATATGCATGTAAGAGTAACTTTGGGGTAATGATTAAAGATACCAGGTTAGAAACCGGGACACTGTGAGGCATGAAACCAGTTGGGTGATTGGGCCAGTCCCTCTCTCCCTCTGAACCCTAGGAAGGAAGCAATGATAAACCACTTCTGAAAATGCTGCCAAGAAAAATGCAAGCAGTTGTGAGGAGTTAAGACTGACTCAAAGGTGCACACACACACATACACGCACACACACAGCACGTGTGAATAATCAAACCTTGAAGGGGAAGGACTCTGATATACAGGTAGTCCTCGCTTAAACTGCCCTGCTTAGTGACCATTTGAAGGTACGTCAGCGCTGAAAAAGTAACTTTATGACCGGTCCTCACATCTACCACCGTTGCAGCATCCCCACAGTCACACGATTGAGATTCGAGCACTTTGCAACCGACGGGCGTTTACAGCCATTGCAGCATCCCAGAGTCACAATTGCCATTTTTGCATTTCACAGCCAGCTTCCAACAGACAGAGTCAATGGTGAAGGCAGCAGTAAAATCGCAAGTTGTGGTCACACTTAGTGACAGAGTTGCCAGTCCCATCTGTGGTTGCTAAGCGAGGACTACCTGTACTAATTTAGGGAAAGGTCTACTAGAAGGCTGCTCTTCCTTATTACCAATTTTTTAAATAGTACAACTAATCACTGCTCCCCAAACAAATCAGTGGCCTGGTTCATACATCATGCTAAACCATCATGTGGTTTATTTGGTTCTTACTCAGTGTTTCATATCATTTCTACCAAGAATATGATTTAAGGTATAACTAAGGAAAACTTGGCCTAGCATCATGTGTGAACCCAAATGCTTTTTTCTTTGCTCAGCCAAAGATCCTCTGGTTTTCAGAATCTGTTTAGTGCAAGCAGAGAAGCCTAACAACTCCTAAGCACAACTGCCAACCTGTCTCCATTAAACCAGTCTGACAGCTTCCTTTGTTATTTGTTTCCTCAGTTGATTACTGTGCACTTTTATGGTTGGACATAAATAGAGCTACCAGATCCGGGCTGCAGCAATTGGGATGACCAGTAGATGGCAGAAAAGTTAAATGGTTCCATATCCTTTTGGTGCCATCTAGTGGCCATCCTGGGTTTTGCAGTACAGGTCTGGTAGCTCTATTTATGGTAGGTTCTCTAATTCTTGTTCACCCAGCCCAAGATTACCTGCACCTTGCAATAGGGCCGCAAGTAAATAATAATGGTCAATTCCACAGAGCCACCATGAAGGAGCAGCTAATAAGCTAGGAGACAGGTGAAAAGGCTTATTTCATCTTTCTCTATCTTACCATTTTCAGCCACCATGAATTACTGCCTTTCCCTTGTTGATTTTATTTTATGACTGCCAAATATAAATAAAAGCCACATTCATAATAATTAATGAGACCTGCACTTTGTGAATCTTGGACCTCTCACCAGCACACGATACTTGAAAAGGATTTTCAGTCAGTTACTACTTAGTCCTTTCCTTTAACGAATGAGACTGAAAAAAATGGAATCTGCAAATTGATCTGAAAACAGAGTTTATGAAAATCAAACAGACATTTCAAAATCAGAACTTATGAAAATGCGCCTCTTTTCCCTGAGGATTCCTCTGGTTCCATACAGAACACTGGCAATACTCACACGTGTCATTTTCCTCTTCTTGCCTACCCAGTTCATCTTGCGGAAAAAGACATTTGCCAGTGACAACAGTAGTATGGCAGGGTGGCCCTGGTCCCAGCCTCTCCCCTTCACTCATAACATGTCTGGATCACCATGCAACATATTCTGCACCCTGACAGCAGCTTGTAGGGTACTCTTTGTTGTTCTATCACTATGAGCAGGTTAAGAATATGGAGTCTATGCTTCCTCTAATTTGATTTTCCATAACCAAACTTGGTGGATCTGCTAAATGTTCTAGAGACCAGAACTTTCCCATTGTGTGGTAAGTCATCACAAATGTCAAGGGCAAGGTAGCAGCCCCTTTTTGGCTTCAAGCTCCATCGTGCAGGAGACATTCAGTAGTTCTTTCAGTTGCTTGGCTATGATTCATCCTCATGTTCAGGTTCGTCCTCAGCTTCAGGTTCATCCTGAGCTTCAGGTTCATCCTGAGCTTCATCCTCAGACTCACCCACAGCATCACCTGCTTCTGATTCCTCAGCGCCAGCTTTTGATATGATGCTGGCCTTGCTGTCTGTGTCTGAACCACCAGGCTTCTCACTTCCTTGTTGAAACCACATGTCACAGTAGAGACCACCTTTCTTTAGTAGCTGCTCATGCCTGTAAGATACAGTAAAAATTAATTCAAAAGGCTCCACAGAACGCAAATCCCTCACCTACATCACTTTGAACTTTCACAGTAGAACTTTCCGAACATTACATGTCTATATCATACAGTGTACTACCATTCTATAAAGCCCATCCTTTTGTCACGGGCTATGACAGCCTTGCCAACCTGGAAATTTTTCAGCAATTATGGTGATGGAGGGGGCTGAGGAGGAAATCTAGGAAGTTACACAAGGGGCTCAACCTCTCAGCCCCCAAGCTTGTACAGTACTCTCCTCCATCCTTGGAATGGGAGGAAGGTATGTCAGAATCAAAACCACTGCCCCCAGAGCAGTCCTCTTACCATGCCTCAGGAATGAGGCCAGTAAAATCAGTGCCCTCACACGAGGACAGCAGGTTCCTGCACTTGCTGCTCTCTGCAGAGCAAAGGGCAGGGAAAGGAAAGACAGCCTTTTTCTCTGTAGCCTGCCTCTCCCCTCTCCTCCTTCCACCCAGTCCAATCACTGTAACATACAAAAAGAGGCAGCAAGGTTCCTCTGTTACACTGAAACTGATCCAAACTGGGGTTTCAGAATGAGAGTTTTCATGTTGGAAACCGCCCCCCAAATGGGTCTCACTTGCTGCCTCTATTGCTACTTTGCATTAAAGTGTCTGGGTAGAGTGAATGTGAGGAGGAGGAGAAATGTGTGGGTGATCAATGCCCAGAAAACAGTGCTATGGGGGGGATGGGGGATAAATAAGGCTTGTGTTGAACCAGGTCAATCAATAATTTTGCATTTGGGGCTAATATTACACTTCTGATTTAACTCTCTCGCACCGACCTTCTTGCAAAGGAACCTATGTTAATACTAGAAGCAACAGCAATAATTATCCTGTTGCCATGAATTCCACTGTATAATCTGAGCAGGACCTGAAAATGGGGACATCCACATTTCTGTTAATACTGGCTTGGTGAGAAGCAAAGTGAGAAGAATACAGGGAGACCATTTAATCCTTTCCTAGGACTGGCTTTCTAAATGTGAAAAAAGTGGTAGCCAGTCTCTTTAAATCTCTGGGAGTTTTTTACATTTGTGGTCAGCCCCCCTCTCCCATTTCACTACTGCTTTTCAGTCCCCGCACAAACAGGAGAGCTCCTTCTGCAGTCAAGGAAGGGAAATACTTATGAAGAGTAGGCGTAAAGCTGCCACCACCTCCTTCCTGGCAGTGCTTGGTGATCAGGGACTGGCAGGGACCTTGCAGTTGCCACAAGGCGCCCAGAGTCCTAAGGTGGCAGTGGTTAATAGGAAGGAGGGAAGACAGGCAGGCAATGGAATGGAATAGGGGGATGGCCATTCACTTGGCACGGAGCACCTGCCACTGCTGTTGCTGAGACAAGCCAGCCTCCTTGCTTAGCTGCCCTCTCAAGTTCTGCAGGGCTGGCAAGCTCAGGAAACAAGAACTACTTGGATTTCTGGAAAGATCTCTATTGCTAGTATGGTAACAGAATCTTGAGAACCTACCACAGTATCCTGCACAACTTATACCTAGTGTAATTAAGGTGGAATCTCTTTTTCATGCTCTCCCCTGAACTCAATCATCTGTTCTGTAATCTGTTCTTGCTACCTCCCCTGTGTTCCCAGGCTCTGTTAGGGATTCCAATCCACCCTCTTTCCTGGCCTAAGAAGCTCTGGACACCTGATTTTTTTAGGAGGAGGGAGCACAAAGACACAATATTCTTGCTACCAAGAGAAGAGGAAAGAGGAAAAGGGGGGGGAAAAAGCTAAACTAAGATAATCTAAACTGCAGGAAAAGGCTGTGTTTCCTCTGGCAGACAAAGGAGAAAAATCCATTGAGATACAGAACCCCACAGCCAGATGAGTGGGGGCATTCTTTCAATAGGACAGTTGGAGCCTGCAGGTCATCGGTCTCCCTCTGGCTCCTCCTCCAGGTGAATCAGAACATCCACATACAGGAGGATGTGTTCCATTTTCCAGGGGAAGACACCTTTCCTGCTAGATCTCTTTGATCCAGCTGCACCTGGCCCTTGGATGAAGGTTCCAATATAAGGATATAACAACCTGTAAGGAGGCCTTCTCAGAACTGGGGCAGGAAGGGTGTGTGAGTTTACTTTGCTTCTCTGGGTAATCTGATATCCTTGACTTGGCCCACAAGAACTATCAGAATTCATTCATGTCAGCTGCTCCTTTGTGGCTAGAGAGTTATGAAAAAGTGATGGTGGCTGGAATTTTTGAGTGGGAACAGAAGGAAATGCTTCTCTTTGAAAAATCCCATACTGTACTTTTGATTTTTCTCATGTATAAAGTGGCTAAAAGGCTGCTGAAGAGCCTGTAACATTATTAACCGTTTCTCCTCTGAAAATAGTTTTCAATTGCAGCTGGAAGAGGAAAGAAACAGAGTTACATAAATACTAGCATTCAGTAGCAGTGCAGAAAAAGCAAAGAATGTAAAAGCTTATTCAGTCCTGAATCTTTATGAAACAAACATTTCCCCATCTCCCTGTCCTTTCTTTCTTGGAAATAAGATTCTGTAGCCTGTTTAGGATCCAAAGGTATGTGTGGGCTAAAATTTCAGAAGCCAAGAGATGGCTGAACAAGAGAGATGGCTAAACAGGATTTCTAGTTGTGGGATATAAGTTTTCTGTATCCTGTATAGTTCTTTGCCACCTTCGAGGATTACCAAAATTGGAATAACCTATGCAAAATACGAATAGTAGTTCAATTTTCTCGGTTTGCTTAATTTATACGGATCACATAGTTCAACCTTTTTTGGTTGGTGCCTGGACACAGATTTATTTATTTATTTATACATTTTGTGTGGAGTTCATAAAGTCCTGTGGACAATTGTTTACCTTCCTCGCTCCACCACTCGGCCCTCCCGGATAACTAGGATTTGATCAGCCTTAACTATGGTTGATAACCTGTAAAGGAAAGATCATTACTATTACTCAGAAGCCAGAATGTAAAGCTCAACAGCTCTCAATAACATACAACACATGACATGTGCAGAATTTGTCAACTCAGATATATTCTGTCCCTGGGGAAAGAACTACATACAAGGATGATACTGTCACAAAGCAGCAAAACAGTCTTAGGAGTGGTAGGTGTACAACATATGTGTAATGAGTAGAAGATTTAATATTCAGCAAAGCTGTCATAAGATGTCCTGAACTCTATTGGAATTTTAGCCATTCCAGATCCTGTGGTGCTAATTCAGCCACACTAAATGGCATTCAGGTACGAGGGCTGACTATCCATAATGTATCAACCCTTGCCTTCACCATCTTCATGACTATATCTTGGGAAAAAGGGAGGCTAGCAGCAAATTGCTGAGAGATCAGTGACTAGAGAAGCCAAGGGAATCTCCAGAGGTGACTACCCCTGATGCAGGATGCAACAAAGACAAAGCAAAAGAATACAATGTATTGTCGAAGGCTTTCACGGCCGGAATACAATGTCTGGTGTGGGTCTTCCGGGCTGTGTGGCCGTGTTCTGGAAGTTCCAGAACAC